CAGCAACCCTCAGGGCTGTGCTCAGGAGAGCTGGTGTGTGAAGTACTAGGCATGGCCCAGTGCTTATGGATCTGCCTCCTCCAGGACTTGCTAGTGGTGGAGCAGGTACTATGAGTTCCCTGCCTGCTCTGCTTTCCTGAGCACTCACTGATGAGGGGAAGGCAACCAGGGCCCTCAAAGGCCAAAGGAACTTTCAATGAATAAAGGTTCCTCTATTCCTCATAGTTGAATCATTAGATCTTTTCTTTGATACTTTGTGCATTTTGTTGTTGTTAATCCTCACCCAAGGATATTTTTCCATTGATTTTTAGAGAGAATGGAAGGGAAGGAGAGGGGAGAGAGGGAGAGAAACATTGATATGAGAGAGACTCCAATTGGTTGCCTCCCACATGCACCCCAACTGGGCCCAGAGATGGAACCCACGACCCTTTGGTGTGAAGGCTGACGCTCTAACCACTGAGCACATAGGCCAGGGTGATACTTTGTGAATTTTTTGTCTTTTTTTAAGGAAATCCTCACCAAGACCTAAATGATATTCATGCACCTATATTTTCTACTAAGGGTTTTAAAGCTTTGATTCTTTTGAAACTTTTGATTCTTTTGAAATAATTTTTAAAAAATAATAGACGTTATATGAATAGTGCAAAAAAACTATATATGCCTTTGTCCAAAATCACGAATTGTTAACATTTTGCCACATTTGCTTTCATTCTCTTCAAGTTCTGTATGTATGTGTCTGTATGCACACAGATATATTAAAACTTTGTTTTCTGAACCATTTGAGAGTAATATGCAGACATAATTCCCCTTTGCCCTTAAATACTTCAATGTTTATCTCTTAAAAACAAGGACATTCTCTTACATAGCAACAGTTGCAGTTATCAAAATCAAGACATTTAACAACGATATAGTACTATCTAATATACAGTGTGTATTAGCTAATTATCTAATATACAATATTTAGTATACAGTTTGCCCAGTTGTCACAATAATGTTCTTTATAGCATTTCCCCCAATCCAGTATCCAATCCAGGTTTACGGATTGCACTTAGTTATCATGTCCATTTTAGTCTTTAATCTGGAACAGTTCCTTAACCTTTCCTTGACACTCATGACACTGACAGTTTTGAAGAATGTCTCTCAATTTGAGTTTGTTTCTTGTTTTCTCATAATTAGATTCAGGTTATTGATTTTTGTCAGGAATATCACAGAAATGATGTTGTGATCTTCTCAGTGCTTCATGTCAGTAGGAATTTAACATCAATTTACCCTTTATTGATATTAACTTTGATTACCTGGCTAAGATGCTGTCTATCAGGTATTGTGAAGTTATTATCTTTCCCTTTATAATTAATCATTGTTTTGTAGTGAGATTCTTTGAGACTATGTAAATATCCTATGTCTCATAATTTTGTCCACTGATTTTAACATCCAGTGATGATTTTTGCCTGTAACAATTAATTACTTGCTGTTTCCTTAATGGTGTTTTTCTAATTTCATCATTTTTCTACATTGATTAGTTGGCATTTTATTATATGCCAACTAAGTTATTCCTCACTTTGGTGCTGAAAGGACAATGATGTGCTCAGGCACAATGAGCACACTTTGATTTGCCACTTGTCACTAATAGGAACTAGAGGTGCTTCTTCCTATAAATGGAGAAATAACTGACTCCAGGGTTAGAACAAGGAGTGTACAAAATTATCTGGAAAGTAATGAGGTGCTCAAAAGATGAGGACATGTCAAAAACATACAGGAATCAGCTTGAAGGGGCTCTCTCTGGCCAAATCTGGGCTGATTTGAGTAGCAAAATAAATAATGATAATAATAGATTAAAACCTGCTGAATAAAGTAGGAAGTCACCAGTCCATATGATAGGTAGGTAGGCAGGTGTGTAGGTAGGCGGATAGATAGGGAAGGAGTGAATGCTTCTTTTTAATAGCACCCTTATCCTTTATGGTGTGTTCACTAAATTCTCCAATCTTTCTGAGGATAATATTGGTAATTTGTTACAGACTTTATTTTGAAATAATTACAGATTTATAGAAAGTTGCAAGGATGGTGCAGAGAGGTCCCACATAACCCTTCCCCAGTTTCCCCCAATGGTTACATCCTGAGTGACTAGATTTATTTGATTTATCCTTTTGGGGTTTGCTCAGCTTCTTGAATCTCTAGGTTGGTATCTTTTGACAAACTTGAGAAATTTTCAGCTATAATTTCTTTAAACACTTTTTCAGCCCCACACTCTTTCTCCTCTTCTTCTGGGACTCTGATGACACAAATGACAAATCTTTTGTTAGAGTCTCAGAGATTCCTGGGACTGCTCATTTTTTTCTAGTCAATTTTCTTTCTGTTGTTCAGATTGGATCATTTGTATTGTTCTATTGTCAAGTTTTCTGATTCTTTCCTTTGTCCTCTCTATTCTGCTGTAGAGCTATTGAACTCATCCACTAAGTTTTTAAATTTTTGTTATTGTATTTTTTTTCAGTTCTAAAATTTCCATTCAGTTCTCTTTTATATCTTATATTTCTTTGCTGAGACATTCTATTTTTGCTTTTATTTTAAGTACACGGAAACATTTTTATGATAGCCACTTTAAAAATCTTGTCAAATAATTCTAAATTGGTGTTGGTATCTGTTGATTGTCTTCTCTCATTCAAATTGAGATGTTCCTGCTTCTTCATACAATGCCTGATTTTCAATTATGTCCTGGTTATTTTGGAAAGTATGAGACTCTGGATATTATTTAAATCTTGTGTTTAGCAGGCTTCCTCTGACTCTGCTCTGCTAGAAAAGAAGAATCTCCTCTTTACTGCCAGGTAGAGGCAGAAATTCAGGTTCCCCACTTGGCCTCCTCTGACATCCCAGCAGGGAATGAGCACCTTGTTGCTGCTGGGTGGGGGTGGAATGTCAGGCTCTCCACCAGGTGGAGAGGCAGAAGGGCACCTCCTTACTGGGTGAGGGTGGAAATCCAAGATCCCCACTTAGCCTAAACTGACACTATAGGGGAGAGGCCTCATCCCCAGGAAAGGATGAAAGTCTAGGCTCCCCAATCAGCCTATGCTGATGGGAGAGGTGGTGGGAGCCACAGTTTTTCCTGTGATGTTTGGCTGGAGTAGGGCAGTTATCGAAAATTTTCTCTCTTGCTACATTGCCCCATTTCCTGATACTTTGGCTAGAGAGAGCAGGCTTTCTTGGGACAGTTTTTGTCTGTGCCAATTGACATTCTGGGCAGAAAACCAGTCTGCATTCTCACCAGCAGTGTACTAGGGTTCCCTTTTCTCCAAGTCCTTGCCAGCACTTGTTATTTGATGATTTGTTGATGGTAGCTATTCTGACAGGTGTGAGGTTGCCTGCCTCCACAGCACCTCGTCCAGGATATCTGCGGCAAAGAGAAAACAGGAAAATGACTGTTATGTCATTCCTCAGGTTCTGGGATCCCTAGCCAGTTTACCTTCTTCTGTTCAACTGAGTCTTCTTATCGTTGTTTTACATATAATGTCCAGGGCTTTTAGCTGTACTTAGTGAGTTGAAGCAAGGGAGTATCATGTATATTTCATTTTGGTCCCATTGATAATTTTTAAGTTAAGCTTTTTGAACAATTAATAATTCATTTGATTCTCTTACCCAAAACCCCATGTCTCCCTAGCACAGAAAATCAGTCCTGATTAGTTTGTGCTTGGGTCAATGGGGTATATGCTTAGAGATTATGCAAATAAAGACAACAAAGGAAGTGTCCTTGGAGAGGGACTGGGGAGGGGGAAGGAACGGGGTGGAATGGGTCATTGGGGAGAAAAAGGGACATCTGTAATATTTTAAACAATAATAAAATTTTTTTAAAAAGTGTCCTTAACATTTTCCCATAAAGATATCAATACTGTTACTGTTATATTAAACACTAATTTTTAAATTACTGTTCACTTTTACCTTTTTATCATAAAATATTACACACATTTTGAATAATGTTGCTGTAAATATTCTTGAACATGCCTTCTGCTGCATATGTGCACATATTCCAATTGGACATATTTCCATGAGTGGAATCATTGTGTCCTAGTGTATGCATGTCTTCAATATTACCAGAAGAAGCCAAAATGCTTTCCAACATGGCCATACCAATTTACACCACCATCAGTGATATGGCGGTTCTCATTGTACTATATTGTCTTCATCACTTAGCATTCAGTCCTTTTCAGTGAAGACATTCTAGGGGTTGTGTAGTGGTTTGAACATGCGTTCCCTGGTTAACTAAGGAGGTTAAGCCCTTGGTTAAGTTTACTCTTAAGTCTTAATTTTTTTGTTGCAATGGTAAATGGGATTTTTTTTCAGTTTCTCTTTCTGAGAGTTTATTACTGCTGTATAAAATTGCCATCGATTTCTGGATGTTAATTTTGTATCTTGCTACCTTGCTGAATTCATTTATTAAATCTAGTAGTTTTTTTGGTGGAGTCGTTAGGATTTTCTATGTACAATATCATGTCACCTGCAAATAATGACAGTTTTACTTCCTCCTTTCCAATTTGGATGCCTTTTATTGTTTCTTCTTGTTTAGGACTGTGGCTAGTACTTCCAGTACTATGTTGAATAAGAGTGGTGAAAGTGGATACCCTTGTCTTATTCCTGTTCTTAAGGAAAATGCTTTTAACTTTTGTCCATTGAGTATGATGTTGGCTGTCGGTTTGTCGTATATGGCATTTATTATGTTGAAGTATGATTCCTCTATCCCTTCTTTGCTGAGAGTTTTTATCAAAAATGGGTGTTGGATTTTGTTGAATGCTTTTTCTGCATCTGTTGATATGATTATGCAATTTTTGTCTTTCAACTTGTTTATCTGATGTATCACATTTATTGATTTGTGAATATTGTACCAGCCTTGCATCCCTGGAATAAATCCCACTTGGTCATGGCATATGATCTTTTTAATATATTCCTGGATCCGATTTGCTAATATTTTGTTGAGGATCTGACATTTTGTTTTGAACAGGATTGTGTTGTTACAGGTCTCAGTGTCATTTGAGGATGTGACTGTGGACTTCAGCAGAGAAGAATGGCAGCACTTGGACCCTGCTCAGAGGCGCCTGTACTGGGAGGTGACACTGGAGAACTATAGCCACCTGCTCTCAGTTGGTAAGCACAGCTGCCCTATGTGTCTGCCAGTGGCCTTAGTGAAGCTATTTCCATTCTCAGCTGCTGAGTGCTCTGGGGCATCTCAAGTGTGTAATGATGTCATTTTTTATTTGTCTAAGATTCTTCAGTTTGTTTTCTCTATTATTATTACTCTATTCCTAGTGAAATGTGATTACTTCTCTGAAGAGCAAGTGGAAGTACCATTGAAAGGTTCCTGAAACCCATTTAGCTGGACCCAATTTTGTGTCATGTCCTGTTAACAGGGTACCAACTTCCCAAACCAGAGGTTATCTTCAAGTTGGAACAAGGAGAGGGACCATGGACGTTGGAGGGGGAAGCCCCACATCAAAGCTGTTCAGGTGCGTGAGTGTAACCCAGGCATATGGGAGATGTGGAAGTAACTCTCACTTTTGTAGGAGAGGTTGGTACCTTTCAAAGGCCTGTCTTGGAAATTCTAAACTTTTGGACTTATTTGGGGTTTGTTGACAGAAGCTCCTGGGATACCTAAATGTCATCTCCAGCTATGACCCTTGCCACATCTATCATCATCTTCTCTTGGCTTTTTGACAAGAAAGCTGTCTCCAATCCTGTACCCTGGATCATATACATACTACCCTATCTTATCTAGGACCTTTTTTTACTTCCTACTCCACCTCTGTTCCCCTTATCTTGGATTCTTTACTGGTATATTCAGGTATTTTTAAATTTCTTCCTTTTTATTCCAATTCCCCATATCCATTACTTATGCCTCCTACCCTGGGCAGCTGGTCTAATGTATTTGATACTTGAATTTCTGTGGCATTCTCTTAAAGCTTGAAGTATTGGTTTATGAGCATGTAGTTTTAGTATATATAGAATTAGTGTCTTAATTCTATTCCTTTTTTTTTCTCTTGATATCTATTGTCTTTTTTATGATAACCATTCTAACAGGTATGAGGTGATATCATTGTGCATTTGATTTTTCTGATGATTACTGGTATTGAGAACCTTTTCATGGACCTGTTGTTCATCTGTATGTCTTCTTGGAAAACTTTCTATTCAGTTCCTCTAGCCATTTTCAAATCAAGTTGGGTTTGAGGGGAAGGGGGTGTGTTGGTTTGTTTTGTTATTGCATTATGTGAGTTCTTTATATATTTTGGATATTAACCTTTTATCAGATGTATGATTTGCAAATAGTTTCTCCCATTCCATAGGTTGCCCTTCATTTTGTTGATGGTTTCTTTTGCTGTACATTTAAAACATTATCTTAATGTCCAGCACATTTATTGTCTTCCCTGAATCTGACTTTATTCTGTGCTCTGTTTGTTCACATGATACTTTTTTTAATCTTTTATTTTATTTAATTAATTAATTTATTTATTCATTTATTTATTATTTTTATCTTTATTGTTGAAAGTATTACAGATGTTCCCTTTTCCCCCCCATTGATCCCCTCCACCCCTCATCCACCTCATCACCAGGCCTTCCCCATACCAATGTCTCTGTCCATGGGTTATGCTTATAAACATATAAGTTCTTTGATTAATCTCTCCCACCCACTCCCCCATCCCCACCTTCCCTCTTTAGTGGTCACTGTTTCCATGTTGATTTTTTGTCTGGAAGACCTACCCAGTGAAGTCAGTGGGGTATTAAAGTCTCCTAGTGTGACTGTATTGCTGTCAATCTCTCCCTTAAAGTCCTCTAGACATTTTTTAAATGAACTTAGGTACTCCTATATTGAGTGGATATATGTTTATCTGGGTTATATCCTCTTGTTGGATCAATTCCTTTAATATTATGTAATGACCTTTCTTGTGTCTCATTATGGTCTTCATTTTGAAGTCTGTTTTGTCTGATATGAGTATTGCTACCCCAGTTTTTTGTTTTTGTTTTTTTCATTTGCATGGAAAATTTTTTTCCATCCCTTCACTCTTATCTTGTGTGAGTCTTTTGTTTTGAGGTGGGTCTTTTATAGACAGCATATATTTGGGTCATGTTTTCTTATCCATTCAGCCACCCTATGTCTTCTTATTGGGACATTTAATTCATTTACATTTAAGGGCCATTTTAATTCTTTATGCTTAAGTTTCTCTCTCTTTATTTCTACTTCTAATTACAGCAGTTCCTTTAACATTTCCCGCAATGTTGATTTGGTGGTGATAAACTCCTTTAGCGTTTTTTGTTTGTTTGGTTTTTGTGGTGTGTGTTTTTTTGTCTGGGAAGCTCTTTACTTCACGAGCTATCTTGAATGATAGCCTTGCTAGATAGAGTATTCTTGGTTTCAGATCCTTGTTTTACATTACCTTGAATACTTCATGCCATTCTCTTCTGACCTGTAGAGTTTCTGGTGAGAAGTCTGCTGACAGCTTTATGGGAGCTCCTTTGTAGGTAACAGATTCCTTTTCTCTTGGTGCCTTTAAGATTCTCTCTTTGTCTTGAATTTTTGGCATTTTAATTATGATGTGTCTGGGTGGGGGCCTCTTTGGGTTCTTCTTGTTTGGGACTCTCTGTGCCTCCTGAACTTGTGTTACATTTTCCTTGACCAGGTTAAGGAAGTTTTCTACCATTATTTCTTCAAATAGGTTCTCTAACCCTTGCTTACTTTCAACCTCTTCTGGCATTCCTATAATGTGATATTGTTATGTTTCATGTTGTTCCACAGCTCCCTTAGACTGTCCTCCTGTCTTTTAATTGTTTTTTTCTTTTTGGATCTCTGACTGAGTGATTTTTTTCTACCCTATCTTCTAATT